CTACCTTTGCCTGTTCTCACTCAAGGAAAGCTGTCTGCATAGATATGTCAACCAACATAAAAGGTAAATGTCATTCTTTCATTTACACTACCTAATTGACAACCAAAGCAGCTGTAACTGTAGGCAATGGTTAATGAGCATTTACAGCTTATGCTAAAGCCAATTTTTAAAAATTCTTTTTATTTCTACTATCACACATTTTACTAATACACAAAAACAAATGTGAATCCATAAAACAGCAAACTGCTTTTGGTTATTTGTTTCTCTGGCTGTCTCTCAACCTTGTCAAAGCCAAACTACAAGCTGGAGAAGCTGAAACCAATGGCCTCGCTATTTACTAATGACATCTGAAACAAGTATTTCTTAGGTAATCAAGAAAACTAAAAATAAATTTGCAAATAAACACACGTTGGTACCTTAGCGAATTGTTAGTTCAATTTCTGTGAATAGGAATATAGTAGGAATAATACCAGCGCTTCCTACCTTTATCCTCTGTTGCTGCTGTCTCCGTTTCTCTGTATCCCTTGGATCACCTTGGGACTCAGAAAGAATTGTCTCTGCTTCAGTTAGCCACTGGTTTAGGTTATTCATGTCAGCCTGCAGTTTCATCCACTTCTCTAGAGATCTGTCAAACCTCCTAAGAATAATAACAAAGTAAATGTTTGAACAAAGCTGCTGGAAACAGTAGCTCATCATTTCATAGCAATTTAATCAATCAATGCCTAAAATATATTTGGGAAGAAATAGGACAATACAAGTAATAATGAAACTATGAGCACTCTATGAATGCTCTTAGGGGAAGATAAATATATACTGTGTATATATACATATGTCCCCATGGACATTACAATACAGTCTTTAATTAACAGTCTTAAAAAAGTATAACAGTATAAAAAGTATAAGAAGTGAACAAAGTTGAAGTTGCAACCAACTGCATATTCTTCAGCAGCATCAATGTAGAAAAAACTATGACATGTATTAAGGTGAAACCAGAAGTAAGCATACTCCTCTCAGACAATGATGCTTTCACATTTTTGCCTTCTGTCAACCCAAGAGAAATCCCCATTTACATGCCTTTTTTCTAGAATTACACAGGGCTAAGGATCATCACCCTTCCTCCACTTGACAGGAATGGAAGAGTCATACGTTTCAACCAACCTGCATGTACTGGGGATCTGACAGGTATAAAGGTTGAGGGAGAGATTGGGGAAGGTAGGTATCTGCAGGAGAGGGAGTTTTAAAGCCAGAGGTTAATCTGTTTATGTTACATAGTTAATCTGACTGAAAAAAGACAAAAGTCCATCCTGTTCAACAATAAAAAAAAAGTTATAATCTTACACCCACAGTTTATCCAGAGGAAGGCAAAAAACTTACAACCCTAGACCATTCAGAGTGTGAATCATTAACCACTACTCTCTGAATACGATCTTTTAGCCAGTTTTCTATCCTTTACATACAGATTTTTCCAAACCCGTAGACTTTATCTTACATATTAGCCGTGTGTGGGAACTGTGTCAAACACTTTTGCAAAATCCAAGAATACCAAGGCCACAGCCACCTCTCTGTCCAAGGTTTTGCTCACCTCCTTATAAAAAGAAATCAGATTTGTTTGACAACTTGTCTTTCATGAATCTATGCTGTCTGTTGTTTAAAATAGTCATCTATGTGGTCTTTTATTAAACTCTCCAGTATCTTCCCAATTATAGAAGTTAATCTAACATGTCTATAGATACTTGGTAAAGATTATGACCCCCCCCATTTTTAAATATTGGCACACACATTGGCCTTACGCAAGTCCAGTTGAGTACTATGCCAGTCATTACAGAGTCCAAGAAAAAAGAGAAATAATGGCTTTGAAATGACAGAGCTCAATTCTTTAAGATCCCGCGGGTGTATGCCATCCGGTCCAGGTGCTTTATTCACCTTTATTCTGTCTAAATATTTTTGGATCATATCAGTTGTGAGCCAATGTGGATCATCTGGAGCTGTGTGAGCAATACCATGCCCATTATGGACAGGAGCTCCCCCATGCTTCTTTGTATACAGAGAGCTGAAGAAGGTATTTAATAAATTTGCCTTCTCTTTGTCCACAGTCACCCATTCTAGATTATTTTGTAAAGGGCCTACATGCTCGGACCGGACCTTTTTACTATTAATATATATTTGAAGAATGTTTTGGGGTTGGTCCTGCTATCTTTTGCAATCTGTGGCAATTTTTGCGGCCTTTACTTCCTTTTTGCATATTATGTTATATTGTTTGTAATGTTTAAACGATGATAAGGTTCCTTCATTTTTATATTTAATATTTATATTTATATTTGTTTTATATTTTGTCTTCCCTGGTTTCTCCTTGCCCCCTCATCAAGATACTAATTAAATTTTTTAATACAACTTTTTTTTATCATTATATAACTTACTTTAGACCCAGTAACATGATTACTGGGTGTTTGTTGTTCTCTATGCAATGCAGACAGAACATGGCTGATAAGAGGGGCTGGAAGGGTGCTGTATATAGCTTCCTGAAAACACATCACAGTACCCTATCTCAGCACTCCTCTCAAGAGCCCTCAGCCCTGATTCAAGCAGTAAGTTATGCAAATATCAAAATGCCTTGATGGGTGGATGTCAGCCAGGGCATTCCTAAGAACACTCCCTTAACTACCTGCAGACCTTATGTAACCCCCACATGTGATGCTGAACTTCCATGATTGAAAAAAAAAAACTGTTTGGCGTTAAATATTTCAGCAGTTAAATGCACCTGTATGTTAGTCTATGTGTCAATGCACACAGGCATTTACAGTCATTTTAAAAGAGGAGCATTTACAGGCTTTATAGAAACCATCTCCAGCACATTCAAGTAGAGAAGAGTTTGTTCAGAAAAGCTCATAAGCATGTGTTAAAGTCAGAAGCATTTGGATGTGCTCACATGCATATTCTGGCCAAAAGAATACATTAATACTTATAATGTAAAGCACTGAGCAAACTGTTGGCACTATATAAATCTTGTATAATAATAATAATAATAATTAATGCCAAACGGGCGAGTTTTTCCTCTGCGAGGAGAAAAGGCATTTACAGTAGCTGAGCAAATGGTCAATGTGGATGAGGCAAAACAGCAGTTTTTAGTGGCTTCGTTAGAAAAGAAACAATTCAAGTATTTCAAGTAACTAGATCAGTGCAAGATAAGATTTCATCTGCCCGCCCTATCACGTGACTTCATTGTTGTAGTGACCTAACGTGTAGGGCTGGCTGATGACATCAAGCAGCACACCCAGAGGTTTGTGAGCCAGTTGGGCACATTTTAAGTGAGTGCAATACATTTTTTAATACATTTTGGAGGGTTCCGTTAATAAGCTATGATGGTGTATTCTTTCTGAAATTTAGAGGGAAAACTTCCTGTATGGTTTAAGAGCATGAGGATGGATTGAGTCACATTGGGAACCTGATGCTGGAGAGTGCATGAAGTTATACCGTCCCGGATGGGAAAGGTGCTATTTGACCTAAATCTTGTAGGTCAAATACAGGAGGTAAGAGTATATACAGTATGTATGTCAGTGGAGGATATACACACTTGTAGTGATAACAGCACTGATTGAAATCAAGATCTGCACAATTTTACTGATTGATGGGAGGATAATCACATACAATATAAGGATGATTTTTTTTTTAAATCATACAAATATATTGTATTAATTTAAAGGACTCACTAATAATTTATGATTTATGTATATTTTGTATGATTTCATTTTATGTATTGTTTGCAGTAGGTTCACAAATATATGTGTATGACACTGAAGCACGTGTTATTTAGTGGCAATGTATGACTATGCTGCACTGTGATATTACTAGATATATATGTGGGAACGCATAGAGTGTCAGCAGCATGCTGGTGGATTTAATAGGGTGACATAATTGCACTGAAGTATATCTGATTTATAACCACCCACTAAATACTACCCATTTATGTAAATGGTGGTGCAAGGCAATCACCCTGCAGCCGTGTGCAATGCAAGTTTTTGCTGTAGAATGGTGCAGGCTTTTAGGGGTTTAAACAAATTGTGGAGAGGAGACATATCACCTTCTCCTCATCTGTCAAATGCCCTTTAACCTCCCTGGCGGTATGATTATTTCAGATTTTTGGTGCTGAAAGCGGTACCATTTTTTTGCATGGAAATATGTATTTTTTTTATTGTAGGCTGTAATTTTTAGGAAAAACTCACTGAAATCTGTCCGAACAAGAGTCTAGTAAACATCCCGGGTATGATAAAATTTGAAACACAAAATCATAAATTATAATTTAATAAATATCATAAAAATAATATAAAAATAATAAAAAATTTAATTCAATAATATAATCAAACCAAAGACACTGAAATTTGAAATATAGAGCCAAGTTCGCACATTGCTGAGCTCAGTCGCAAAATCGTTTTCAGTGTCTGATGACGAATTTCCCCCACGAATCATTATCACTCAATTCTGCAAGTGGTTCTGATTTACTATCGCTGTTCTCTAGCTGATCTAAACCGCTTTTGACCTAAAGGGACACTTTTTGGACGCCATGGACATTTCTCAGTTTCCAGGCAGAAAGAGCAGACAAAATGCAGGCAGGGCGCCGGACAAAGCACTCAGGACAAAATGTATGTGAAATTGGTTGAGACAGCAATGTTTTACTATGAAAAATGTAAAAAAAAAAAAAAAAAAATGACATTTTTAAAAATTTTTAAATTTCCCGCCGGCGGCGGCGCCTGTACGTCCCGACGTCACAGGGACAGGACACAGAAGCCGGATGCCGGCATCGGCCGAAGGAGATGGCTGGGGACGCTGCAGGGGACACATCGTGGGAGCGCAGGGTAAGATAAGTGAAGAACACATGCCGGAGCAGTGCCGCATGGTATTCCCGAGTGTAGCTTGGGGTTACCGCTTTTGGTACTGAAATGTTACCCCGAGCTACACTCGGGAATACCGCTAAGGAGGTTAAAGAATCTATTAAAAGTTATAAGAGGGCAACACTTATGTAAACCAGCCCCCTAACTGAGCTCTGTAAATGAATAGGGATTCAGCAAATGCATATCTACAAGGTATGCATGTGAAGGTTCCCATTTACCCAGGTCATGATCAGGGACGGACTGACAACTCATGGGGGGAATAGAGGATCATGGGGCCCCTGTGTCCTTGCCCAAACTCAAAAAAGCCTATGACAAAGGTACCAGGGGCATCTCATGGAGCCCCCTACTGACCCCGGGCCCTCGGGCAGTGCCCGAGTTTCCAAATGGTCAGTCTGCCCCTGGTCATGATATAGCTAACAATAGTCACATTCAGCTGATTCTGTGATGGTGCAGAAGTTTCTCAGCTTATCCAATTTGCTGCTTCTGTCATCCATATATAATGCAATTTTAACATCTTTACCAAGGTGATTTTACAACAATTGACACATTCAGCTATATAAGGCTGAATGTTCATGAAAGGTACATTGTTGTTTTTTTACCCCTCTCTCCTTAAGCCTCTTGTTCAATCACAGAATGCTTTAAAGTGGTTGTAAACCCTTACATATACCTAGTGAAGTGACTGACCTCAGGTGATACACAGCGATGAAACAAATCCTACATACCTTGTACCTGTTGATCTGCAGTATTCTCTAATTTACAGCCATTCAAAGTGCATAATTTATAAAGCTTGTCTAAGATTTCAGAAAAAAGGCGGTGGAGTTACACTCCGCAGAGCTCAGTGGCGAGAGTTAAGAGATGATTGGAGGGAAGGCTGTCAATTACAGTCTGTGTGCTAGAGCTCCCTCCCCTGTCACCTTTCTTTCTTGATGTCAGGAAAACTTGTCAGAAGTGACTTGCAGATAACAGAGAACTGAGGCAGTAGACAGAAATTTAATTTAGTCCTCTGGGTTGAGGCAAGTGCACACTATATCCTGATATGTTTTATTTTTATTTCATATCTGAAGTTTACATCCACTTTAAAGTGGGGATAAAGGCTCAAGGTTTTTTACCTTCTTGCATTCTATGCATGAAGGTAAAAAACCTTCTGTGTGCAGCAGTCCCCCCAGCCCACCTAATACTTACCTGAGCCCTATCACGATCCAGTGATGTCCACGAGAACTTCACTGTCCCGGGTCTCTGCCTCCTTATTGGCTGAGACAGCAGTGGGAGCCATTGGCTCCTGCTGCAGTCAATCACAGCCAGTGACCAATAAGGAGACAGAGGGGCAGAGTCCAGCCATGGCTCCATGTGTGAATGGACACACTGAGCAGCTGCTTTTGAGCGTACAAGTTCGGGTGCCCCCGTAGCAAGCTGCTTGCTATGGGGGCACCCAACAGGAAGGAGGAGCGCCAGCAGGGGACCCAAGAAGAGGTACACTTGCACATTCAGTTGCAGATGATCTGTCACAAAGCCCCTGTAGGCTTTTTACTTTGAATTACAAAACATTGCTTGTGGAAAAGTGCAGCTAATTATGGATCAATTAGCAAAGCTTAGATTATCTATGCAAAAGCTTCTATGTCAGTGAAAGAACAATGGCGTACAATCATTGAGCTCTCTAACTACATTTAGTGTGAATTAATGTATTCTCAAATATCCCTAAATATCACAAGAAAGGCTCTAAAGGAGGCCATAACTGATTCTTTTATTTATTTATTTATTTTTCGTTGAACAAAATAAAAATGAATTGATTCCCCCAATCACACACTTGATGTGGATGGGGTAATCCTTCTCATTGTGCTATTATATTCTGTTCCACGCTGGCAGAATATAATGATTAGTGTTGCAGGAGGCACTGATCGTTCAGGAAAAACCCGACAGGCTGGTTTACACAAGTTGATTGATAAATCGATTTGTGTACAACCAACTAGTCCATACATGAATTTAAATTTTTCCGGACGCTGTTGAACCTGATGAATTTCATCCATTTATGGCTGGCTTAAAGTGGTTGTAAACCCTTACATATACCCAGTGAAGTGACTAACCCCAGGTGATGCACAGAGATTAAACAAATCCTCCAGCATAAGATATACCTGTCGGTCTGCAGCCTTTTCTTCTCTACATACGTCCAAAGTGCTGAATTGTAAGGCTTGTCCGAGGGGTTCAGAAAAAGGGGGTGAAGAGCAGAAGTTACACTCTGCAGAGCTCTAAGTGCTGATTGGAGGAAAGGGACGCACACCCCTTTACACAGCACACATGAACAGAGCTGAGGCTGTCAATCTGCTGGAGCTCCCTCCCCATCACCATTTTTCTCTTGGTGTCAAGTAAACTCATTAGAAGTGATTCATGCTGATAGTAGAGGGACAAAACAGCAGACAGAAATGACACCTAGTGCTCTTATTGAGACACGTACACACTATAGAAGGATATGCTTTGTTCATACTTCACGTCAGAGGTTTACAACCACTTTAAGGTTACATTCACATGGGCATGGGTCTCATTGCTCATGTTTATTTCAAGTACTAAAGTTCCTTTGTAATGATCAGTTAAAACTTGCGTACAATTGTCCATTTTTTTTTCTCCAATACATGCATCTGGCGTATGTGCATATGTATGTCCTCAGAAGCAGATTTTTTTATATTGTTTTAAGGATCTAAACATGATGGGAAGCACAGTGGCTAAATGGTTAGCACTTCCACCTGGCAGTACTAAGGTTGTTAGTTCAAATCCGCACCACCTGCCTGGAGTTTGCATGTTCTCCCTGTGCCTGCGTGGGTTTCCTCCGGTTACTCCGATTTCCTCCCACACTCCAAAGACATGCTGGTAGTTTAAATGGATGTTCCTAAATTGGCCCTAGTATGTGTATGTATGAATGTAAAGTTAGAGAGGTTAGATTGCATGCCCCTGGAGGGTTAGGGACTGATGTGAATGTACAATATATATATATGTAAAGCAATGCATAAACTGAAAGAGCTATATAAGTACCTGAAATAAATCATAACAAATAATAAATGTAGTGCATGTTTAAGCACCTGTATAAATGTTTCCATTGAAAACAATGCAGCTACTCTCAGATCTGAGATTGTAAACACATTGTTTTTATTTCCATATGGATGTTTCCTAAAGTTGGTTTCAATCAGTCTCTAAAAGCTAAAAAAACTGGCAGGCTAAATGAGAAAGGAGATGTGATTTCTCTGCTCTTAAGAATTCTGATAAATAATTTCTCCAAAATGCCCATAGCTACAGGGATGAATGAGGGCTTGATTTTAAGCACCTGTAGAAATGTTTCCATTGAAAACAATACAGCTACACCCAGATCCAACATTGTTAGCACATTGTTTTTATTTCCATGTGAATGATTCCTAAAGAAGGTTTCAATCTGGTTGGCAGGCTAAATGAGAAAGCAAATGTTGTTTCTCTGCTCTAATGAATTCTGATAAATAATGTAATGGAACCGACCTAGACTGCGCTTGATTACTTCCGTTAGAATACCGCTTCCCCGTCCAATCACCGACAACAGACACCACAGCTGACCATAAAAGACTAGATGACACCAGTCTTGAAGTAAACCTAGTTTATTTGAACACAGATACAAGATATATACACTCAGGGGACAGTCCCCCTCCCTGCATAATGACACAGGGTGGGGCAATCTACATTTAGTAACAAGAGACACACAGGTATTCAAACTTCACACCAGCAGACAGTTCCATCAGGAGGGAGGGCTGCTGGAGACACCCCCTCACTAAGCTAATACACATAAACACATACATCCTATAATGGTTTGCTCCCAAGTCAGACAGACAATAGAACAATGGGATGCAGCCACATAACATTAAACAATCAACAACCCCCACCTATCTCCTAAACATATCTACACAGTCTGAGACAAAGCCCACACAATATTAGGACAGATCATCCTGTACGCCTAACAGGCACAGAGTGATTTACACATAAGAGGGATATGTGGAGCTTAGACAGAGGTCTCCCACCTCTCCAAAGTGAGCTGGGTTTCATGGGCCCAACCAAAGTGACTCTCGTCACAAATAATTTTTCCAAAATGCCCATAGATACAGGGATGAATGAGGACTTGATTTAAAGGTTTTTTTTAAATGCATACTGCAGAATGTCTGGTCAGTGGTTCCCTTTAAGCTATATGTAAGATGTCTTTCACTGCTTTCCATTGTTCAATGTAACCAGTGATCAGTCTGTAAAGTCTGTGTAGTACAGTGAGCAATTCTTGACTGTCTTTTATAACATTCAAGCATTCTGTCAGCTTTTGATAAGGTAGAAGCAGTCTATAACAGTCTTTTGTAACATGTGAACAGTCTCTGATAGGCATTGGAACCATTGGGACATTCTATGTCAGTCTTGTAACATCAACATTACCAGTTGACTGCAGGTATGGCTGACTAATCTGCTACCAAATGAAGACAATGAAACTGTGCTGACTAAGTATAAGCCTGTTTAATCCCAGCCACTCACAGTAAGCCGCATCTACTCTCCATCACAGAAAGGTAGTCCCTACTCTCATTTGCTCAAGTCCCCAGGTATCCTAGCCCGACACTGCCAGCATGTTTCACATTTCAATTGTGTGCACTATCAGAAGGAGGACATACACTAATTTATGTGTCAGGAATGTGTGAATCACAGAATGGCTGAAAATAATTAAAATTCTTAATGTGCACACAAATGTAATTCAACGGTGTATTAAGCTGTTTAGCTACAAACTGTGAATAATCTTTCATAAATGTTTTTTTATTCTCTCTGTTTAGTTCATTAACATGCCCATACAGCACTGTATGCAACAAAAACTAAACATAATTAAACCCAGGGTTAGACATTTTCCTATGTAAAGTTCTTTTTTCCAAGGTCCTTAACAAATTAAATTTATATTTCAGAACTGTAATAAGACTAAATATAGAATACTGAATAAAGTCTCCCATGGTAAATGAAGAAAAAGAAAAAAAAACTGTACACAGTGCTAAATAATAATATTAACATCCCAGCTTAATAACTGCAGCAGTTTAAAAGATTAGAAGAAATCACCATCTGAATACTAAAACTGACTCATTATTTGTGTTATTATGGAATCAGATTTTGTATCTACAAAAATAGCCTAAGTATGTGCAGTTCTTTTGATTTAATTTAATTCAAGTATAATGTACACATCAAAGTGAATTGTGCTTTTTGTTTAAAAACGGTAAGGAATATGTAAATGTAGTTAGCAAACGTAATTTCCACAACATTTACTCCAATGGCCGTGAAAGCTATAAAAGATGCTTCTGTGCTATAGGGTATTTTTATCAGTAAAGACCACATGTCCAGCCATCACAGCAAGATAAGTACGTATCAATAAGCTCT